TCAATTCATCGGTTTCATTCGAATCGCATGTGTTTGTCGGATACTCGCATCTGATGCGTATTTGTCCACTGCATGACATCTCTTAAGCTAGCATTTTTGCACCGAAATGCAGTTTTATGAATTTATAATGAAAAGAATGGATTTACAGTTGATAACAGATTGATGTAAATAACATAAATTTTGTTCACAACAGGTACTTCATCTGGCTCTTTATATCCGAAGATTATTTATGCGTCACGAACCCACAGTCAACTGTCGCAAGTGGTTCGTGAATTGAATAAAACCTTGTACAAGGAGTAAGTCAAATTGTCCTTCTTGCACCTAAAAACTTATTTTCTTTCCGCACACACAATCCGACGTTTTCATATTTCTTACTAGTATTTTTGTGTGACAATAGCGTTTTGTGTATTACATTCAAGAATTGGTCACAAATGAACTTTATACAGTTATATCAGCAACCTAAAAGAGCTATCAGGCTCCAATTCAGATTCATCTTAGATTCATGCATAGGCTTACAAAAAATTGTAATTTCAGTCAGTGCAGGTGGTATTAAATAAGGATGAATGCATAATCAGAATAACGAAGAATATTGCAGCACGAAAACAGTGACGTTTGGTTCGCGTGATGTCTTGTGTTTGAACAAAATTGTTACAAGCGAAAAAAACTCGACCATGAAAACGTTGATGTGTCGAAATTTAACGAAGAACAGAAAATGCCGATTCCACAATGAACTCGAAAGTAAGTCGGTGGTGATTCTCGTTGAAGTCTTATTCAGAAAATTATTTCATCGATTGCAGTAGAGGGAAAATCAAATCTCTCCGATAGTACATTAATGAGGATAATAATTTCTTGAAATTGTCACATTCAGAGCAAGGGAAGCAAGGCCTTGAATTAATTTTTAATGCCGAAGGGAAGGTATTGGATATCGAAGATACGATAAAGATCGGTCAGAAACACAGGTCACTTCACTTTTGCTAATATTTATGTTTCTCATGCACTGTACTGATTTTAATATTTTTAATGTGTTGTCATTTAAAATGAAATGAACGCATCGTAATTTCAGTATTTGCCCGTTTTATCGTATGCGAACAATGTGTGATGATGCAGATTTAATATTGGTTCCGTATAATTATGTTGTCGATGCTCGCTTGAGAAAATCTCATGAAATTAATATTGAAGGCAATGTTGTGATTTTTGATGAAGCACACAATCTGGTATTTCAATTTTCCGTTTCGGTTTACTTGATCGTTCACTATAGTGTCTCTCGTTTACTTTTTTCACTCATTTACTCTCATTACTGTTTCTAGTATCGATGCGTTAGTGTTGCGTTATTATGTAGCAAAGCAAAAGTATAACTCAACAAATTGTATTTTACGGGTTCTTTGCTGCTGAATGAAATCTTCGCATCATTTCCAGGGAATTGTGTAAAATCTTGTGAATGAATTTGAAATGAGAACTGAGAATGAGTAAATGAACATTCAGGAATCAGTTTGCGAAGAGAGTGCATCGTACTCTTTCACATCAAAACAACTTAGTAAGTGCATCAAGGAAGCGAAAACTGTTTTGAAATCAGTTATGGAGGATGAGGAGGAAATAAGATCGAAAATGGTTATTATTTTTTGTTATTTTCAAGCAGAGGAATACCATCAGCGAGAGATTCTCGTTCGTTGGATTTCGAAAATTTTCATATTGTACTTTTGTACTTTTCTCAGAAATGCATCCTCACATTGCTCATCGTAATGAGCGAATCACACGTAAAGCACTGCAATCGAGCACTTCCGAATTTCATTAATTTTCGAGAAATCGAAACAAATTCTAAGGCCGAAAAGATGGTTGGAATTCAGAGAGTGAACTTCAGTCGGTTACTGTAACTCCTAATTATATTAGGAGTTATTAATTGAAACCAGTGATTGTTGAAGATTGTCGTGCGCATTAATCTTCTCTCGTAAAAATCTTCACTGAATATAAGTTTTTATTTGACATAGGATAAGAGCGATGCACCATTCGGAGCCGCAATAACTGACGAAAAAGGAACTGCATCGGATGAGATCTCAATTAACAAAAATGATTTGGGCTCTCTTCTAGGTATATTTTCATCAGTTCGTTCACCTTGGTGTTTGAATTTTCGACCAATGATTATCGCATTCCATCAATCATATTCGTAGCTCCTAAGCGTTTCACTGTTAGACTTTATTCTTCGTTCATCTGTGATGCGATAACATTGTAAATGATTCTTCAGAAATATTACTTGCATTCGAGCAAAATATGCAGCGATTAATTCCTAGCCCTGCAAGTGCTGGAAAATCATCGGAGTCAGGTGAACGAGATGATAGTGAACGAAATAAATGTTACAATGGTACAGAATTAGTTAAATTATTCGAACGAAGCGGTATTCCTTATGTGAAACGTGACGATATATTAATATTGATTGATAAAATTGGACAATATATGGTTTCTAAAGGTACATTTGCATGAAACGAATATGTTTATTGGTTCTTTCACTCCATTTTTTTNGCAGTAAATAATCGAAGACGTGTTATTTTCTAGCTGGGGTCGGGCAAAATAACCTGCTCGTTGATAAAGGCGAGCATCTGAAAGAGTTCGCATCATTGATTGAAATCGGTTTCACAAGCTCTACTCAGTCAGCTGATTACCAACGTCGTTTTTTATCTGCCAAAGAAAACGGGCTTATCGATAAATATTATTGTAACCCGGATGCCGATAAATTTAAGGTTTTCAAGCACATTCATTGAAATGTTTAATGATTTATTTTTCTTGAGAAATTTCATCTTTCATGCAAGCAACAGTTACATCAGCAGTAGTTGTTGAATCAGACCAAATTTTCGATCGAACGATTGAATTCACTTCTAAAATTTTGTTCACCTAAAAAATTCTGATGGATTTGGAACGTGTTAATGGATAGGAGATCAGTCGCTGCGATTCTACTTCGATCTTAGTAAAACTGGGCGTCCTATTTAGGCAAGGGAAGTAAGTATATTTTTCGACTTTAAAAAGGCGTTATCCACACCTAAATTATCATAGGAGCGTTTGAAACTTATTGTAAATTGATTTATAACTGTGAATGTTGTGGATTTAGCTGTACGTCACCATGGAAGGCGACTTAATAACACTCAATTATTGGTGCTTCTCGGCATCAATCGCTATGAGGTAACAACCACAATTTTTCGCCATTGTCCATATTATTATTATTATTATTGTTCTTTATCATTGCTATAAGTTCAAATCCAGATTCAACCATTAATTCTTAACAGACGAGTATTGTTAAGTCAAAATTTCAATGAGCAATAAATTTTTTGTCATTTTTCTGCAACTGTCAGAGAACACTTCAGTTCGTTGAGATTGAGCAGCTGATTATTGGCATAATTATGAAGTGCAATGTAGGAATGAAATAGCTGTGGGATGAAGAATGCAAGAGCAACACCCACAACTATTGACAGGATTTTGAGTAGAAATGTAAAATTTCATTCGCAGCAAATGTAGTGATACAATAGCAGTCGGTTTTTCTCGTCTATTCATTAGTAGTAATGCAATCAGCAATGAGAAGAATGTGAAACAGGCGATAATTGAGAAACTTAAGCCAATCTTCCGACTTCTGAATCGAATTGTAAATCTGTAATAAGTTCCTAACTCGGGAATGGATTAATCAATTTTTTTCGTTGGAGAAATTTTTTTGTTAGCATGAGTTCGAATTTGAGTTTTGATAGCGAGTTAGTTCATCATTGTGTTCAAGTGAATGAAGGCGATTCAGTAAGGGTTTGATGCTTTTATCGGATCAGCAGTGTGGTTCTGCTGAACGAATGCCACCACCACTCTTTTTTCGTTGGCCGATTTGCTTGATATTGCATTTTCTCATTATATTCTTGAACTTAAAAAAACAACGACTCAGTGAGCTTACTGAAAGATGTGTAATAATGTAGTGTTTAAAAGAACACTCGCCAGTTAAAGTCAGAAAAAAATGATGACATTGCTGTGTGAATGCATCAAAATAATGGATGTAATTACCTTACCTTGCGATTACCTTGCGACCTGTCTTCGCTCTCTATG